TTCCTGCTGTGAGCAGAGCAGCCAGAGGCACGATGTGATCCTACCATCCAGCGAAAAGTGCCTGTCCTCCCTCTTTGCTCCTCATTTCAGCACTGTGACCCTCTACCCCTTACAGACCTGCAGACTCCTGAGATTATCCCCGAGGTTCCCTGGGAGTCATCTCACTACCACTGGGTGCCAAACAACCTTTTCCAAATTTGCTTGCGGGCATAACATTCCCCACACCCCCATTTATCTCTGCCCCTCGGGTGTGAGCCTGGCAGCGCTGGTACTGCCGAGGAACCGACCCCGCGTGCTTCCCCTCAGAGAGCGAGCCGCTCCGGCTCCAGCTGCCACTGGAAGCATCCCAAGACCAGCAGCCCAGCTCAAAATATTTACGACAGTAGCTTCAAGACTTTTGGTTCATATCCCAGCTTCCCACTAACTGTTTTTTCCCAGGGGCCTCTCTTCTGAGAGTGAGGGATGCCTCCACGCACAGCCTGACCACACATCACACAAATTCCTCATCTGCCACTTCTCTGCCTCTCTGTCTCTCCGGTGACAAATTATTGCAGTCATTTCCCATACTGTGCAATGCCAATGTTATATTTGCTTAAAAATAGCAGTTATGTCCAAATCAAATTAATACCCATACTTTACTATAGAAGAAGTGAAACACAATTGCATCCACGGTAAATCAGAAATTTCTCAGGCTCAGGCTTCACTACCTTTCTGTCCAACCCACCCATTAACCTTAGATTTGACACCTCAGCTTTCTTCAGTTATATCAGTTAACTCTGTTGTTGTATCGCTATATTCTTAATATGCCAGAACAGACAAGGGGAAAAAAATCAAAGAACTAAATAAGACACTAAACTCCCCCTTCACATTTTCCACGTGCTCTCTGCCTTCTATTCACCTCTGCCCTTGGTACAACAACCTTCCAAAAGTCATCTCAGGCTGTGCTGTATTTTACTAAATCATCCCAAGGCCTCTCCCTCAGATGTTCATTTTCAGCAACTTTTGCCAAATCAGTGCATCAGCCGCTAATTATTGGTGCCAACTTTGTTCTCCATCTCCCAGAGCAGACATTTGGCATTTGCAGGCGCTAACAATAGCCAGTTTTGAAATCTTCTTGTTCCTACTAGAAAAAGTTCACATTTGTGAAAATTAAACCCTGAGAGATGAGGTTTTATTTTTCTCTTGAGCTGACCATCCAGAATAAATCAAAGGACAGCAGCACTGCAACAGTTCACCCACAAATCCCTCACAAAACCCTGCTTTTTCTTTCAAGCTGGCTAAGAAAATCATTGCTGTTTCAGTGATTTTCTCCTAACACTGCAAATTATCTTCCAGGTCAATAGACGAAGCGATCAGGTTGTTGACAGAAGGCAAAGCTGTGCTTGTGGCTAAAGCACAAAAGTGGGAGCCCGACAAGCTGGGTCGTCTTCCTGCCTCTGACGCAGACTTCCCCTGCGATGTTGGAAGATACGGGTGAAGACTGAGCCCCGGGCAGCAGAGTTTGCCCAGGGACAAGAGTGTGCACAACCCAGCTGGATGCCGCAGCCTGGATTTTTTGGGGTCTCCTCCATTTTTGCTTGCAGGTAATGCAGGCAAGCAATCCCAACTGCTCTTAGGCAGCAAAATCCTCAGCGTTTGCTGACTCAAGAACCAGACGACGTCCCCAGCTGTGACAGCCTCCTGATTCATTACTGTGTGTAGAGCACATCGAGACCTAACCAGAAAAGGTCTCTGTGCTGTGCAAGTACAAATTGTTTCCACCATCAGACATCACACGAGCTCCGTCTGCTCTGCTCCCTTCTGAGCAGCGTGCAATATCCCAGTCCACAGTCGTGTCTGCTTGCTCTCGTATTGAAATCTGCTATTTTACTTCTTGGTGTTTGGGCTCTACCCCAGCTCCCATTTTCACGGGGGCTAGAGGTCTGAACACCCAGGCTCACACCGGCTGTCTCCGATCCTCATCTCTCAGACCAGGAAAATTCCCATCGACGCAGACATCCATTTTGCCTGCGTAGGACTTCAGGTCATTATCCAGCGTAGATCAACCGCAGCATCAAAGCCTTAACACGGGACCCCGCAGCGTACCCTGCTTGTCTGATACAGGAATTTTCCACCTGTGACAGCTCAGGATCTCTGACAACACCTCCGCGCTCCTCGGCTGCGACTCGGAGGCCGGGATTCGCCATCGCAGCGCGGGTGCGAGGCCGTCCACGGCCGTCCGTGCAAGGCAGGATGGCCTTGCAGCTTCCCGCGGCCCTGGTACCTCTGCACCTCTGGCAAAGGACCAAACGCCCTCGACAGCTCGTCAAAGCACTGCGCGTCTGGGAATAAAGCTTGAAATCACAAGTCGTCTTTTCCGCAACGCTCCCCGCTACGCGCGCGCTGCACGCGCCTGTCGCAGCTGTCCCCTGTGATCGACCGACTCCCCAGCCAGCCCCCAGTTCGCCTGTTCGTCTATGCTACTGAAGTCCTCGTTTGTCTGCCCTGGTAAACTGAAGCCTAAACCGTGGAGGTCGGAGACAGCAATTAACAGTCAACAAATCTTGCTCTCCATCCCCCAGCCTTTTTTTTCTCCCCTTTTTAAGTTCCTCAGTTTGTTTTTTTTTTATTCCTGCCAGTTGTGC